CGCGCGCGCGCGCGCGCGCGCGCGCGCGCGCGCGCGCGCGCGCGCGCGCGCGCGCGCGCGCGCGCGCGCGCACATATACATATATATATATATATATATATATACCGCGCGCGCGCGCGCGCGCGCGCGTTGCCACTCTCTCCCCCACATCTACTTTTCACAGCCTCCCCCCCCTTTCCTCCCTCCCCTACATCACGTGTGCTACAATATTACTTTTCACCCACCATCCTTCTCACCACCACCCATCCGCGCATTCGATCCTTTTTTATATGCCAGGAACATATATTTGTACCATTTCTTGTCATCTGTTTTAATAGTTATTGCCATGTCTATTGCCATTCTATTCTTCTTCTATGATCCAGGATACAAGTTTCACCTTTGATTTCGTTCTTGTGCAATAGTACTAATCACAAAATGACGTATGCATGGCATTAAATGTGCTTCCACAGTACACCTTTTCATTACATGAGTACTCGTGATCACGTGTCGAAAGTTTTACTACTTAGCAATCACGCAAGTGAGCCATCATCAGCTTTGAAGAAAAGTTTATTATTGTTTACTTATAAAGGTACAGGGAAAGAAAAAAAAAGTTATGCAGATAAAGTATATAGTGTAGAACGGCTATTAAGGAACCAAATAAAAAGAGAGGGTAAAAGGAGGAACATTATCGGTGATGCTCGTCATGATCGCTTTCTTCGTTGAGCTCAAGATCAGATTCATCCATCAAGGCCCGTTGATACTCGGCTTCACGTTTGCCACCCCATCGACGACGATGCTCACGCCTTGATGTAAAAAAGTAATCGATCAAGAATGCTGATAATAATCCTGTGACGCCTCCAAGTAGGTTGGCGAGAATATCGTATTGATCAAATGTGCGGTACTAATTAACAACTGCCATGTTAGGAGACATGCACTCTGGATCCACAGCCCATAGGACAATAATACCCACCGGTAAAAGGCCTTGAATGCATTCACTAAGGATAGCAGCCGAGAACAAGATGACCGAGGCAAGAAGGAGGTTACGTTTATAGGAGAGATCCCATAGGAAATAAAGACAAATGCCGAGGATCAGAAAGGCTGTATAGTGAAGCACCTTGTCATTGACCTTTCCACCCAACTGAATGGGAGCAAAACCGAGAATGGCGAGTACGATGAGAAGGAAGAAGAGGACAATGAGAATGCGTAACCGCATTTCAGGGCAATAAAAGAAAGGTTTGGGCGGAGGGTTATACCAAAGCAGCAAGTAATATAATAATAGCCCAAGAGCGGATTTCCCCGTAGAGACTATTGAGTATGCTTACGGATATCGCGTTATAGAGATCAGTGTCAAGACATTCTTTTTGACTACGTTGATAGTGTATGGAGACATCAGGGGCTCAAGTGGGTTGATGAATAAAGGTGTGATAAGGGGCTTGAGCTGTGAGATGCTATTCTGACCACCATGCAGTGCGCAATACAAAGACTAAACACCATTGCTTTATGCGGCATTTCTTTTTTTCCCTTCACCCATCATGCAAGCAATGTGTCTTTTTCTGCAAGCAGGGCTGAAAACGCCAAATGTGCCTTTGAAGAAGGTTGCCATGGCAACTTGTAGACCCATCACCATTGCGTATCCCAGGAAACAAAGCTTCATCTCATTGTGCTGGTAATTTCTGTTCACCATCACCATTGGTCGTTATCCTGTTATTGGCACCGCTTCACAGGAACATGCTGCTCTTTGTTGAACAGGTATCGTCGTTGTAGTTGCATTGTTTCTATATTAGCCCTGTAATTGTTACGACATCTCACATGTAAAAAAAGTCAAGTTCTTTTTGAACGAGTATGGGCAATGGATTTATTGTGATGCATCGAATATTTACTCTTCATCCTCCTCATCATCACCACCCTCAGCAGCCTTGGCTCTCTTTCTCTTGACACGACCAGCACGGCCACCACCATAAGGAGAGGTCAAGGCAAAGTCAATGTGCTTTTGCGAGTCCTATAGCGTAATGTGTAAGAAACAATGAATCCACTCATTCAATCATTCATTCATTCATTCAATACTTACCAAACGGACAATGAAGGAAGGCACGTTGACAACTTGCTTACCAACACGGATGTGACGTTGACGAATGAGGACACGAGCGTGATGGATAGACTTGGCAAGACCGAGCTTGAAGACTTGAGTTTGAAGACGACGCTCCAAAAAGTCCTCAATCTTGAGACCCAAGACGTAATCGAGCTTCATGCGGCTCTCGTCCAAGACACCAATGCGGACCAAACGACGAATCAAAGCATTGCCCTCGAAGAGACGACGGGGGTCCTTCTCGTCCAAGGTAAGCAAATCACGAGCAGCACGACGAATCTTGGACAAGGTCAAACCGACACGCCAGACTTCACGCTTGTTCTTGAGACCATACTCGCCAACGAGCTTCAATTCTTGGTCCAAACGAGCAGACTCGTAGGGGCGCTTAGGGACCTTGGAGGTCTTGCTGTAAGTACGCGAAGCACCAGTCATTTTTGAAAAAGAGGAAGATTCACCTATCGCTCACCAAAAGCTTTTTTTTCTTTGGGCGGTGCACGAATAATGACAGCAGATCTCCAATTGTGGCTTTGTGCACGTGCCTCAACCAATCCTCCATCCATCCTATTACCATTGACATCCATATCCATCATGATCCATGTAATCATATACCATTTGACACACCCTTGATCCAAGAAAATCTACCAGTCAAATGGCCCAGCTATATACCTACCACATGTCCTTTATCTTTGGAATTGCACCCACCACCATCATCATCATCAATCGAATCACATATATAAAGAACGATTGCATTCTATATTTTCGATAACATGCACGTGACCCCTTGAGTTGAACAATGCCAATGGCACGACGTGAGCTAAACACGATTTTGCACGTCCATTTTACTTACATTACCGTCAACAAAATACAATTGCAGACATGTGTGGTTCATGTTGGGTCACTAATGTCTTGTACGCGTTCAATATATAAACGTGGAAGCCTAATTTATCATTCCCTTTATGATGATCTGCTCCTCTTGTAACGTATTCCGTTCCCAGTATTCTGCATTGTCAGAGGTTGATTCATGCATCACATATGGGTTCTTCATATATATTAACGGTAAATAGGGTGATCGCTCCCATTTTATTATGAACACCAGCAAGCGAGTAACTTGTTAGCTGATTGTTGTTGTTGTTCGATGACATTGCAACCTTGCTTACTGTAGTTTGTTTATCTTCGCAGCTTGGCTCATTGATAAACAATAAGGCATTTATCATTCTTTGTGGTCACGGAAATACCCACGCCCACATTGCACATTAAACATAGAAGATGTTGTCGCCCATTTTTACTCTCACGCATCTCTTTCTTTCATCCTATCACTCTTTCATTGCTGACACCTTCAAAGCCCAAGTTCATGTAAGTATCACACTTCTTGCAGCCCTGTTCATGAGAGCTGAGCTTTATCGTCATCCTTTTAGAGTTTCACTATTGATCTCCTACTTTCATTGTCATTGTGAAATATGACCCTTTGATTAACAAGGGCTTTTTACGATGCGGTGGAAAACGGGTTTTATCAACCTTCCATACAAAATGGATCCCTATCAAGCATTCTCGGCACTGGCCAGTGTTGTCGTCAATGAATACAGGACCTCACAAGCGATGTGGTTTTTGTGGATGGCGAATCTACAGGCCGCAAACAGCCAACAAGAAGAGATCGATGGGTGCATGTCTATGGATCAATCGGAGATGTATGCCGTTCTTAAAATGCCAAGGTTCATCGGGAAGAGGTACGATGGCTGCAACATACATAAACTTTAAAGGATTTGCTTCCACTAAAGGCATGGTGATCAAACTAGGAGCTTTCCAACAGAGACAAGCACAAGAAAAACAGCACGACGATATCCTTCGGCAGGTGTTAAACATGTGGATGGCATTAAATGGGATTGGTAAACTCATATTTCCAGCTGATACTTATAACACGTAGCGTCATTATTAACAGCAGTGATAATAGGGGTGACGTCGCACAAGACATCCTGAAAGAAGAGGCCCATACGCTATTAAAAGATGGCGCGCCACGCCTAAAGGGTCAAATGCCTAACGGCTTCTTCAAAATGAAGTACCATGGCCTTATCATGGCGTTGATTGAGATAAGCGATCCGCCGAACACCAAGGACCACATCCGTTTCGTTGGCGACAAAATCAAGCTCGCCAAGAATCTGAAGCACCTGCTGAAGAAAGTGCGTGAAAAGCTTAAACGCAAAGGCGACCATGAGCTATACCAATGCATCAAGGTATACATAAGGCATCAAGTTTACAGTAAGAATGGGATGTAATGGTGTGTGTATATGAGGGTGTGCTCTAATTATCCGATGATAGATCACAAATTGTATCTTTATTCTCTTCGCCAACCAACACATGGCATTTACGTATTTCAAGAAGAATTCCACTTTGATCTTTCATGCGAGGTTGGCTTCTTTTCCTATTTCCTTCCAAGGTGCTTGAGGAAGTTGTCCAAAGTGCAGGTAAGAGCTCAATGATCGAAAGAGTGATTTTAATATCAATGTTGCTAAGATTGCCTTTATCAGATGTTGCTAAATGAAAGTTCACAAAGAATATCTCGGCCCGGACTACATGGTCAACATGTCAGAGGCTTGTCAAGTTCTCGTGGCTGTCGTATACCTCGCTGTTGTATCAAGCAAGAAATAAAGGCACGCTTTAAAAAGATACCTACATAGGATTCAATTTTGGGAAATACGTAGTACCCTTAATAGAATAACTGTATACATAGCCATTTTATTTACGTTTTCATATGTATACACTACACCAGCACTAGCATAAAGCTGATCTATTGTTCCTTTTTGTAATTGTTCGAGTTCTTTGTCATCATGTTCTCTTCCCGGTATACTGCATATATACAAAGTCCGGTACCTGGTCCTGCAAGGATGGATGACAGCAACAAGACCACCAAGCCTTTGTAACCATTCTCTAAAGCCGCCCATACACAGCATGCTCCAAACGTAACAACCGTATCCAAAAGAAAAACGTGTGTAGCACCAAGTTTGCCCAGCTGCTCAAGAGTAAGCGATGTCAAATCCATCTCATCTTTGTAAAGGGTCGCTATGCCGACCAATGTTGCCATATTGAGCAGGCCTTTAGATTTGAGTCGTACACATGCCGCATAGAAAATCACAGCGTTGAAAGCACCAATCGGCATATAAAGTCTCCACACAGCCTTACGCTTGTCGTCAGTGATCTTTACTTTGTCGAATATCCACGTTGCGATATAATGTGCTGGTGACAATAATAAGGGAGCTAGCTGCCACAAGGCGATGACGTTGCTCTCCATGGGGCTGTATGGTATGGTACCGAAAAGCATAAAGATGGTTGGCAGTAGGTAACACATTAATATGGCGATTAAAGTAGCATAGAGTCGAGATGCGCTTATAGAGTATTGAGCGGATGTAATGTTGTCGCCATAGCAATAGTAAAATGCAGGCACCCACATCAACGGCAAGGTTATTGATATGCCTATCATGTTTGCAATGAATCCCCACAAAGATACGCAGGATATGATCCAATTGGTACCGGAACGTGATCCTTCAACTAGCATGATGGTGAGGACTGAGCCAAAGAAGAAAAGGAGTATCCAGCTAAGTTCATATCCAAAGGAGTCGTGCATAGCATGCGTAAAGACATTGACCAAGAAACAGAATGGGTGATCGATAGCGTTGATTACACCTGAAGTTGCATGGTAGTTGCGAGCATTGGAGCAAAGATCGGCAAGCCTAGCGAAAGGATAAACAATGATAAAATGGTGACCAAGGACAACTGCAATAGGAAAGCCAATAGCAAAGGAAAGCCAAAGCTTCATCGTAAAAAATGAAAGAGAAAGGCACACAAAAGTCGATTGACTCGATTGCTTGCTGCATGTCATCCCGAATGGAAAGGTGGCTGACAGTAGCACAAACCCCACTGATAACTATAATTGCATCGTGTATATCATTTGCCCCTAGCAGCGTATTTATTGCACTCCATCCACAGTAAACACTGTTTACAAAAGGGTCTCGTAAGGAACAGGGGCGATGGTTTGAGGAACGTTGTGCTTGGTAGAAACGTGACGAGCCTCGCGAGGTTGAGCTGGAAGACGCTTCAAGTTGACCTTGACTATAGATTCACATGTACAAATCGAGATTAGCTTCTTTCCCATCACACATGGCATTAATCAAAAGCTTGATCCTTACCACCAGTCTCCTTGGCAGCCTTCTTCTTTTGAGCGTTCTCCTTGACACGCTCCAAGAATTCTTGACGGCACTTGGAGTGCTTGACGTGCTCAATGCGGATGTTGACACGCTTCTCCATGTAGCGGTTGCCGACACGCTTGTGAACAATGACACCAACAGCAGACTTGGTAACGTTGTAGACAACACCAGTACGACTATATGAAAAGACAATAGCCATGAATACCCAATAGCCCATAATCATACATCCTCCCCCCATCCCATCTCAACTTACCCGTGGTAGAACTTGTGGGGCATACCCTTTTGGACAGCAGCGTTGGCTTTGATGTCAACAATATCGCCAACCTTGTAGGTCTTCAAGTAGGTCGACAAGGGGATAGCACCATGCTCGCGGAACTTGCGCGAGAACATGTGGCGGGTGCGAGCACGAACTGCAATGCATCGAAATCAGTCTCATGCGAAAAAAGGAACACGTACAAGGTAAATGGACCCAATGACTACTTACGACCAAAGGAGTGAGGCATTCTATAGCATAATCGGATATCGTTAGACTAGCTGTCTCCTGGATTTCCTGATCGCTGCAGTCGAGTTACCTGTCAACGTATTACAGAGGCAAAAAAGAGAAGGAAGAAGTAAGCCACAGCTTGCAACCAAATTTTAACAGCGCTGAGATTGGGTATAAGAACCAACCTGGATCATTCACTCTGTGTCAGTCTCTGGTTGCCATATTCCTATGCGTCATTCAGTAAGTGTGTGTGTGTGTGTGTGTGTGTGTGCTTTTATATAACAATTCTTGATATCGTAGTAATTGGATCATTGTAGTAGCATTCATTTCGGTTTAGGTTGCCCCTTAATATTGAAACCAAGAATTGCATTGAGACCTTGGAAGGCATGATGCGTAATAAACCATTGAATCTATTTACCTATTGGATATTGGATATTGGGAAATGGGTTCCATTTGGTGGGGGAGGGGAATACAGAAATCTAGCGTAGGAAAATGGGAGTAATATGTATGTAACCAGGGACAACCATCACCAAGGAAACATACATACACCTTTATAAAAGAGCCAAATGTCACAATGACGACAATGACAATCAACGTATGATGATAATGAAACGCTGAAGGTCATCACAAATGTTAATACATGGATCTCTCTTAGGAAAGAACACCGTGTCCCATTGGATCATAGTACACACTTTCAAGTAATATTGTTGGGCGCCATTACTTAGCTTACTACTTACCAGCGTTTATTATTGAACATGTGTAGGATCCCCAATGCTTATAGTCTATGTATGTAGCATATGAACAGGGAAGCATTCACCAATGTCATGTGATAGAAGGTGACAAAAATGTCTCGATAGGGTCATGTGAATGGTTCATCTTGTTTCCGGCCTTCAAGTTTCTACATATTCCCATTCTCCTCTATCATCATCAATCCAGAAACCAACCAAAAAGTGATCCACATTTCGCACATATGAAATAATAACGAGATACTCTAATTATGTTGAATCCAGTGTTCATTTAATGGAAGTCAAGAATAGGACATGGTAGTGTGGGTGCTTTTCAATTCAGAAGGTGCCTTCGTTTTTCCCGCCTTTTCTCAGCAGCAGGTTCAAAAATGTACCACGAAGGATTGCTAAGGTGGCTGCAAATCTTCATCATCGTCGCCTGGCTCATAATGGAAAGATGTGCTTGTTGCTGCCGCTGGTGTTGAGAAAATACGTTTTGTTGTTGGTAATGTTTTTTTAGGATGGTTCATAGATACCTACCATCTTCCAACGATTCAGTCGTCGTCTTTCCCATACTATCACGTCGAGTCAGACGCTAATGCATAAAGGAATACTATACGTTTAGTCATACACTTGTTTTTAGGGTAAATGCAAGCGACAAAATACCATGTTGCTCTATAGTCATTCTTACCTTTCCTATTGATGTGGTTGTCGGAGCCTTCATTATTGCTTTTGTATGCGATCTTCTGGTAGCGAACGTTCTTGTTATTGACGTTGGTGTGGGTTGTATTGCTAAGGATGAAGACGTTGGCGGTATTGAGGATGGAGATGAACTTGTTGGTGGTCTTGACTACATACCTCATTTTAAAGAAGTCATCCATTGACATGCACCGCGCGAAAGTTTCTTGTTGGCACTGGCGGGGCGTATGATTTGATGACCACAATACGCGCATACCTGCGATGTTCGATACTCGTTTACGATAGCCACCGGCCAATAGCTTTCCCCTCATTATTGAGCGTCAACTTTCAATCGAGTCAGGACCTCTTCTTTTTATATAGCCCTTGCCCTGTCAACGTCTGTCAGGATGTTCTCCTTATCAAGCACCCTATTATGATATCACAGCTGTTAATGGCGCTATCATAATCCCAAGTATTTACTGGAAAGATGAGCATACCAATCCCACTTGATGTCATCCACATGTTTAACAGCTCCCGGAGGATGCCTCTTTCTCCTTTTCTTGTGCCTGCCTCCATTGGAAATCTTCTAGCACATGCCACGCCTTATTCTTGCTGCCGTTGTAATTCAACCCCATTATCACGGTAAGAAGCTTTCTGGTGAGAACCATCATATAGTATACCATATGGGAGAAAGGGGTTGTAACAACCGGTTGGAAGCTTGCGCCATATCAAATGCACCATGTCGAGTTCAGCATCCTGGGTAGACCATGACGACAAATCCAGCTTTTGCAGATGCATCATGAGAGGCAGCTATGTCAAAAGGAATATGAGAGCGTGGTTCATAATAAAGCAGGATGATTACGTTTACCTTTATAAAAGGCCTAGTTCACAATGACGACAATGACAATGAAAATAGGAGAATCATAATGAAATACTAAAAGGATGGCCATAAAGCTCAGCTCTCATCCATAGGGTTGCAAGAAGGACTATTCACAGTGATACGTACATGAACTTGGTCTTTGAAGGTGTCAGCAATGAAAGAGTGATACATACGATGGAAGGAAGAGATGTGTGAGAGTAAAAGCGGGCGACAACATCCATGTTTATGTGTGCGAAGTGGGCGTGGGTATATCTGTGACCACAAAGGATGATAAAATGCTTGTTGAGGAATGGTGGTGAGCTGATAGATTAGTGGTGTGGGGTGGTTGTTTATCAAAGAGCCAAGCTGCAAAGATAAACGAACTAAGCAAGGTTGCAATGTCATCGAACAACAACAACAATCAGCTATACAAGTTTCTCGCTTGCTGGTGTTCATGGTCAAATGGGTGTGAGCACCTTCATCATATACATCCGAAGTGCCGTGTGTGATGCATAATCGATCTCTGACAATGCTGCAGAATATGACAAGGGAACAGGAACATCACAAAGGGAATGATAGATTAGCCTTGCACGTTTACGTATGGAACGATCACAAAGTATGTTGATTGATTCAACATGAACCTTACATGTCTGCAATTTTATTTTGTTGATGGAGGTACTATCTTCAATGCTGGAAGCTATCGTTTATCTGGAAAAAGTCACGTGCAGTGTACCTGAGAAGGGGGGATAATTGGGCGAGACGCGCATCATTTCACATTTCATCTTCCTTTCCACAAAAACGATCTTCTATTTATGCTCTATGGCCCACGCTGGATCTCCTCACGACTTTGACAGGAAGAACCTCGACAAGTTTTATATATCGTCACCCAACAGCAAGTCGCCCCAGCGTACAATGAAACGACGTCGTAGCAATGGTGGTGGTGGTGCTTCTTCTCCTAATGCTGTCTCAGCCAAACGTCAACAAAGCAGCAGTGTCCTCAATGTCCTAGACGACGATCCATTCACCGATCCAGAGAGCACAACAAAGAACAGCTCCAATTTGCAGCAACAGGTGGCATGTGCAAGATCTCGTCTCTTGGGACGCTTATCAGAAAAGTCGAGTCCTCCTCATATGCATTGCCTTCAAGATCAGTATGCCAAGTTGTACGATCTGCTGGATCAGACCGTTTCCAAAGGTGAAAGCAACTCTTGTCTCTTGATCGGCAACCGAGGTGTTGGCAAAACGATGCTGGTACGACGTGCTCTGGAGGATCTCGATAAACAATACAACCGTGGTAGCGAGGCATCCAACTTTTGCGTTATTCGACTCAACGGCCAAACAGAGACCACAGATCGACTTGCTCTGAGTGAGATTGCTAGGCAGCTCTTTCTTCAACAAAAGCAACCGGATCAACAGCAGCAACAGAATAGCCGTCAATTTGTAAGTTCTATCTTTGACATGTTGCTATGCCAATCTAATGCGTGCGCGTGTGTGTGTAGGCTTCATTTGCAGAATCCTTCGATTATCTATTATCATTGATCAAAGCGGGAGACAAGTCGACACTGCCGATCATTTTCATCCTTGACGAATTCGACCTTTTCGCACAACAACCAAAGCAAGCTTTACTTTACAACCTTTTCGATGCAGCACAAAGTGCTCAAAGCCCAATGGCTGTTATTGGTTTGACATGCAGACTGGTAAGGATGATTGTTGTCTTCTTTAGTCCATGGGGGAATCTAAAGATGGGTTTATGGTAGGATGCATTATCATTATTGGAGAAGCGTGTCAAGTCGCGTTTTTCACATCGTCAGATCTACGTATTTCCTCCATCAACCTTTGGTGAATTTATAGAGTTGGCAAAGAGTCAATTACGGTTACAGGTTGCACTTGGTGATTATGCAGCTTACAGCGTATACGTCGAGAAATTCAATACAGCATTGGATGTAAGTGGGGAATGGAAGATGGCTGCTATATGCGTACTTATGGATCATCATCACACAGGATCTTTTCCAAAACCCAACCATGAATACGATCTTAAGGCGCATCTTTGACTTGACCAAGGATATCCGTTCATTCTATAAGCTCTGTGTAAGTAGACCACATGAAACTATCCTAACATGTTCTAATGCTTTGTATATAGTTTGAGCCTGTATCCAAGTTGAGTCAAGATAATCCATATCTGCGAGTGGAGGATTTCCAGGAAACTAGTGTCGCACAGCGTTCTGATGCCAAAACGGAGATCCTTAAAGGTAATCATGGGATAGTGGTGGTGATGGCATGGCATGTTGAGCTTATCAATTTTATTGCAGGTGTGTCCATGCTGGAGCTCGTTCTTATTGTTTCAATGAAGAAGCTTTTGGAAAAGGATATCACAACTTTCAACTTTGAAATGGTATATGACGAATACAAGGATTTCATGAATCGAACGCAAGTGAGTGGTGGTGGATTTGGCGTGAAATTGTACAAGCGACCTGTTGCGCTCAAGGTAGGCTATAAAAAGGGATGGTATTATGCGGGGATACTGATCCCTAATGCTTGATAGGCATTTGAAAACCTACAAGGGTTTGAGATTGTATGTCCAGTGGAAGATATTGCAAAGTGTCCAAAGGAATATCGAATGGCACGATTGATGCTCGAGCAGCCGCAAGTAACGGAAGCCGTTCTCAAGTATAAAAATTGCCCAGCACCGATCAAAAAGTGGGTCACCGGATAAACATCCTTTGTATATATAGTCATTTAGCATGTAATTGTGTTCTATACCAAGCAGTCTATTAAAATCAATGAGAATCACGTGATAGAAAGAAGGGTCAATGATGACAAAGAACGTCTTTTATTCAAACAATGGTTACTATATGTACATGACAGGATCCATCCACTACGATGTGGTAATTTTACAAAGGAAAGTTACAGCGGGTCCATAAGCTTGAAAGGACGTCGCGGAGTGAAGTTGTGTCGCATTTGGCTATTGACTCTTTTTGTACTCGTCCTTTCGTTCAGGAACTAAATTGATAACGTGAATGGACTTGGCGATAAACATCACCTCATCCTGCCGAGTGCGAGTGCTCTTGGTGCCTGTTCCACCCATCAAGTCGTCCACTTTTTGGAAGCATGTCGAGCTTGTCAAGAAATTCAGCGTGGTTCGATTAGGAGATGTGACACCTGACTTGCAGAATGGTGCTGGAGGTAAACGCGCATCAGCTGGTAATCCCGGCACTGTCATGGAGGCCTTGTATGAAAGAGACTAAGAGCTATTGTTTATGTATACAGCCATGTTCAGTAGCCAAGTTTTCCAGGAGGGGCAAATGCATTTTCAGTTTACTACCACTTACACGCGTGATCACGCTCATTTGGAAGATTTCCAACCACACCGCCGTATATTTGGTGTATGCAAAAGACAATGATGATACCTACTTTGTATGTGGATTGCTAATAGTATCACATTAGGTCATTGGTATTATGGATTGTCAAGAATGGAAGGATAAGGATTTGAGTGAAGGTCATAAGCATTTCGTTGATACACTTCACAAGGTAACGAACGTTTATGCAACCAAGATCTATATGTGCTTACTAACGATCCTTATTCTAAAAGTATCCTACTGCCATTGCTACAAGATGTTTTGCATTTGATCCAACCGAGACACAGCCTGATGACACCAAAGGTCTGATCATGATCCCGAATGTCGGCAACATGTCGTTTTACATGAGCACGATGATATGCGACTTTGCAAGTGAGATCCTAAGTCAATTTGCCATGTTGGTAAGTAAACGTGGGATGGATATATAAACGAGTAGTTGCTCACAATCAATGATAGGCATCGAGGATAGAGAACTTGCCTACGCTTGAATCACCTTTACCACGTGCTTATTACATTACACCACGCTTTGACTCGCCTAGCAACGTATCGCCTACGCCTTCAGTCAGCACACCAGGCTCTCCAAATATGAACCATCGCACATCACAACCACCTAAACCCACACAATCCTCGTCTTCGTCTTTATTGAAGCGCGCATCCACCCCCGTTGGCAACTCACGTCCACTTTCATTTGCACAACATCAACAAAAACTTACTCCCAATGTTCCCCATGGACCCATGTCACCACCTCTTCCATCACCACAACCAACACGATCGACAGGCAATCAAGGAGACAATGGAAAAACCAAAAGAAGAACCCCTGCTCGAGTAAAGAAACTCTTGGCTGATTTATACCTGTTGGCAGGTCGTCTACCTGATGCAGTTAACCAGTAAGTCAATTTCATGTATACATGTTTACACATTCTTAATCTAATACACCTTTTTTAGCTATACCCAAGCGATTGAGATGACAAAGACGACATCCGATTATTTATGGCTAGGAAGTGCAATGGAAGGTTTAACATGCGCTACTTTATTGTTGGAGTATCTTCATGCAGATGTTGGTGTAAGTAGTACAACAGGGGAGCATTAAGGGAAAGGATGAAAATTAATTCATGTTGCACACAGCATATTGTATCCAGAAGCCAAAGTGCCCCTGGTGGAAGCACACCTGAAACACCATCCACACCTACCACGGATCCTTCACCATCCACGCTTCTCGATGATACAACATCCACTGTAGCTCAAGTGCTCCAGCGATACACAGCATTGCTCGATTACTATGACAAAGTCAGCACCACATCCAGCATCCCAATGCCAACCTTGATCTATGCAGAGACCCTTGTCAAAATGGCCCGATTCATGCTGACAGTGTACGCCAACAAAGGATGGAGCGATCACACATTGTCATTGTTGGTGCAAGGAAGACTTTCGTCTGAAGATAACGGCATCTTGACGGGACCGCAGCGATTCATTTCTATTGAGGACATGATGCGATACAAAGAAAGTGGAATTCCACGACACGACATTGCGGAATGGGCAACCAAAATATGGGTTGTGCAATTGGATGATTTATCATTATTGGATCAGGTATGAGATCCCGGCTATGGGTTGAACAATCGTACTTACTCATTCTCTTTCATGTGTAGATCAATCTCATGACGCACATGTCAAGTGTTCTCAATGCTGTCGGATATCATCGCAAATCAGCATGGCTCATGTATGAAAGTGTGAATCGAATGCTCCCGCTTTTGATCCAAGGGCGTGCCACATTAGCCAGCTCACGTGATACAACCAAGAAAGATTTTGGCAAGAGCGATGATGGCATTCTAGAAATCCTCAAACGGATATGCGAGGTGTATGGACTTGGAGGTAAGTAGCGGAGGAAAAAGCCCGTCATGTACGTATCCTTACATTCAACAACATAGAACGAAACGTGCATGATGGTGGTACATTGGATGCCTTGCAAGGTCAAGAAGATGGATCGGATAAGAATGTGGGTGATGGCGTGCGAGGTGCCGTATCCAAGGAGCCTTTACGTTTTGGATGGCCCAAGTTGCAGATTGATATCCTTCGACAATGCATTGCCATTGCCGAGGCACTTCCAGGTAGATAACAACATGCATGGTTGATTCTGTCCACCTTTGGGCTAATCAACGACCCTTTAGATTATGGTGCTGTTCTCTACTATACCACTGTACTACTGAAGAATTTGTATCAATACATATCCAAGGAAGAGCAGATTCGTTTGGCAACATCGATTCAAAGAATTGTGGCTATGGGCAAACGTGTTCGTCAAGTCGAAAGCAATGTCAATTACTGGGGCGTGAATATTGTCTCTGCAGTCGAAGCCTTGCTGCCAATTCCACGCAAAGCCGTTTATCAGCATTCAGCCAAAGGCCGTGTATCACCTGCAGCAGCTGCAGCAGCCAATGGCGACCCCTTTATTTACAACCCATTTTCACAAAAACGTAATGAAAAGGTATGTATGTAGCTATGGAAACATCGAGGATATTGTGTGCTTATAGGGTTGTATCATAGCAATCGGTCATCTTGGTCAAGAACGAGTTATGTGATTTCCGAGTAACCCTCACCAATCCTTTTGGATTCGATTTGGAATTACAACATGTTGTATTAAGGTATGCATCCAACAATCACCCATTCATTATAACGCGTATTCATTGTTCGTGTCCCTATATATAGTACAACGGGTGTGCCATTCAATGCCGTGTCTGCCACTGCTACCATCCCCGCCAATGGAACCTTGAATTTGCGATTGACAGGCACCCCTGAAGAAACAGGAACCCTCGTGGTGCGTGGGTGCATGATCAAAATTGTCGGCTTTGCAGAGCAAGAGTTCCTTGTGGATTATGGTCAAAAGCAAAAGAAGGAAGCTGCCAAGGATCCCAAGAACAAGCATGAGGATAGCAACAACAAGAGCGAATTCATCAAATTGAAACATAGGTAATGTAACTCAAAGTGGTATGGAGAGGACAAGAGATCTAATTTCCTGTTGTAGTGGTTTGAGTGCCATTCAATCGAGTCGCAAGAGGGAAACATCAAATGAATTACGCCCGGTCCAGTTTTACGAGCTTTCTGTTATTGAAGATCAGCCATTATTGAAGATTCGGTCAACCTCCTTACTACATGATGCTGTCATGCTTTATGAAGGAGAGATGTAAGTTGAAAGAAGGCAATGAGGAGAAAAGAGATACAATGTGTTCATTTTCATCTCTCAAATAGGACGCATATTTCCATTGAATTGGAAAACATCGGCAACATCCCTGTGGACTTTGCAAGCCTTTCATTTGTTGACTCAACTACAGCCAACCCTCTTCCTGTCAATCCCGAGTTACCAGTCGAAGAGCAATATGAGATTGAGTTGTATACCAAAGGGATGCATGTTTTCTCTTGGGAAGGATCCAAAGAAGAGATGGCCCAATTCGTGGGTAAAAAGATATGGCTACCACCAGGCGACTTATGGAAAGTCAATGTCAATGTTTATGGTAAACGTGGATGGTACGTAAAAAAAGTCTGCAAAGCATCTCTCATGATACTCATGCGACGTTGAATTTAGCACTGGTGGCACCATTCAAATCGACTATGGATATCTCAAGCGTGATGAGCATGAAGCAGATTCTTTCTATACGAGACAACTTTATCTTCCGGTGCTCATTACAGTGTATCAGAACTTGGAGCCTCTCAATTGGGATATCCTCTATCTACGACATAGCGCACCTGTGCCAAAGGCAGATATCGATGATGCTCGTGGACGTATCGCAAAGATTGGTTTGGAGCCTAGCAACGCCTATGATCAGCCCATTGAAGACCTATTGCTTATTACACGTCAATTTGATGACCAGAAAAGCAAAAATGACTATTGCCTTGTGACGCTGGACGTTCGCAATACGTGGACTGTACCCTTTGACACCAAACTTGTGATTGACAATGGTGATGATGATAAACTCACATCCATCGTTACACTTCAACCAGGATCAACCAAAAGGTAAGAGAGGATAATGTGATTTGAAGCAAATGGGGCGTGGGCTAATAAGCTTTTTATTTGCTAGAATCACCTTACCTGTCAAACGACTTTTCCTTGATCCCGAAGAATGTTATCAACCCGTACCATCACTCGAACCCAACAAGCAATTTGTGGTATCTCAAGGCCCTAAAATCCCTCTTGAACAAGAACGTGCTCGACTACAAATGTTTTGGTATCGGGAAACCCTTCTTCGACGCATCACAGCATCATGGCATTGCAATTCCACGGGTCGACACGGTCTCCTGAACATACGATCATCCTTGCGACTTACACCCATGCAACTTTCCATTTTGAAAAAGGAGGATATTGAGTTTATCGTCGAGATGACGAGCGATCATGCGAAAAAAGTCAGCCACCGACGTTTTGAATGCAAGAGCAATGAATTTGTCACAATGAATGTATCGATAAGAAACCGAAATGGTACGTTATTGTGGTCTTTTGGGATGGGCTAAGCACATGCTCATGTATGATGTTTATAGTACATCCGATCAAGCTGATATTACGTGTGCAACCCGTCCAAAGCTATGATGATGGTGCCAAGGAATACGATTTGACTGGCAAGTTATTAATACAGGGTTTGCAGCAGGTGGTGTTACCTGAGGTAAGTCGATAGGGAAGGGGTAAAAGAGAATAAAGATAATTCATGCCGATTGATTCCTTCTACGTGGTCATAGGTGCCACCAAACGACGGTATCACAACACATCAACTCCCCATGTGTTTCCTATCACGAGGCCAATTTGAATTCTTGTATCATGCAGAAGATGTACACACCCAGCATGTGTATTACGATCACGAATGGGCCATTGTTGACGTTTATGACAATTAGATTATCTCCCTCACATCTCCCCCTTTTTTTAACTACTTTTTATGTAAATGTATACATTGTTCTATGTACTGTCCTATTGGGGTTATCATCCTTCATGGGTTTTGGATAAAAAAATTGTGTCGGTCATTATGAAGTAAATCTGCATAACACACCCCACCCTTCCCTTGTACCCCGGTAATTATTCATATAAATGGGAAGCGAGGTAACAGGGTTCTCCACTTTATAACTTTTTTCAATCATGCCTCAACAAGATCCTGCTCTCCGTAAGTGCTGCTAATTGTAGAGTAGGAAAGATTGGTTGCTAACCCATAACCCTCACCAGAGCGCGTTGAAGACCAATTGGTCGAAATCTCAAAGGAAGTCCAAGGCTTGGCTCGATCCAAGTACACTTCCAAGGATATCCAACATTTGCAAAACAAGCTGCATCACATTGATGAAAAGTATCGTGAAGGAATCATTGATGATCGTGACAAGTCAAACTTGGATGATGATCCATATGAGCACCAAGGCCAAGCTCAGATTGCTGATGTAAGTTGTTGTATAGAGGATACACTAATACACAAGTTTACTCACTCAACATGCTCAAATAGGCTCTCGATAAGATTCACACCACTCTAAGCTCTATGCTGCAAAACTGCGAGTAAAAAAAAGAATCGTTGCTTTATTGCATTTGTAAATAAAATTGGTTTTTTGTGGAAAAGAAAGACATTGTTGCTGCTGTTTCTCAAATTGTTTGTGTTACTCTTTCACATACACAGTAACCATGAGTCATCCCTTGTTGCATAAAGCACCACCTACCACTCGCCGCGGTAGGACAGGCAGACGTCGTCGTACTGCGCGATCCACCACAATGCACGACCATTCAGACATCATTCGAGGAAGAGGTATACGCTTTGATCTCGAGATCGCCGCCGCAACAAAGAAGACTCATTGATCTCTCTCTCAAGTCGTCAAGGACGAGCCGTATGTCAAGTTCTTCGACTGGTTACGACACTATGATTTTCCAAAGACCAAGATGGTTTTAGCCGAGTTTCCCAGTAAGTGAAGGATATCCATCAAATCGTTGATACGATGTACTGATCCAATCTCCCATTATAGACACTGGCAGAGGTAGGGATATTCAACCAACGATGAAAAGCTGCTATGGACACGTTCTTAACCTTTTGGATTTCCTTCGTTAACAAGGCATGATGGCAACATCAGATATTGAGGTAAGTAAAGCCACCAGGTGGTAGTAAATGGTTGGCTGAGTATCACTTGTAATTAGGCAGGGGAGGTCATTGTATCAGTACCGAAAGCATTCTTGATGTGCAATGAGACGCTACAAAAGGTGTATGGTCAACATCCACTCAGCATGCATCAATTGCTCGCATTACACTTGTGTTACTTGAAACGTGATCCAACAAGCTGGTGGAAACCTTATGTCGATCTTTTACCAAGTCATTTCAATACCATGCCTGTTAAATACCCACCCACTTTGGCCAAGCACTTGCCTTACTATCTTAAAGGTACATGTCGTCGCTGCTTTATTAAGCGTCATCATCATCTCACACACATGTATCGTTATCAGAGGAAGTAGTACAACAAGCAAGCAAGCTGGAATCTGATTATGCCAATGTCAATCGATATATCAAGGTATCAAAAAGAAGAACCCACTTTTGCACGTATCCATTGCTAATCATCATAATCAGTCACGTCAAGATTTGGGGTCTGTTGGATACAAGGAATATGAATGGGCATGGCTATGTGGTATGTATTTAGATGTCAAGATGGATTCATCTGACCCAGCGTTTCCATAGTCAACACGCGATGTATCCACATGTCTACCATTGATGCTACAGCAAAGGGAGGAAACATTGCCATGGCTATTCTATTGGATTTTTTGAATCATTCTTGGGAAGCCAAGGTACGTTGTTCGGGAGGGGAAGGATGATGATGACGATGCCGTTTGCTTACAAAAGAGCAAACGATCCAAAAGATAGAGAGCGGGTTTAACGTACGCACCCAATGCTTTGAAATTCGTACATTGACACCTTATCGCAAAGGCGAGCAGGTATGTATATGACTATGAATGAATCGTTCAAAGGAGGAAATGATGAGTAACAGAGATGAACCATAGGTCTTCATCAACTATGGCCCACATGACAACCTCGCCATTCTACGTGAATATGGATTCGTCATCCCTGACAACATTTACAACTTTGTCTCTTTGGATCAAGAAGTATGGAGCTTGTTTGATGAAATGGAAACGGTACGCGGCTCTCGGTTGAAGAAATCGATTTTGGAGAAAGAAGGGTGAGCTTTATTTCTTGATCCAGTTCCCCCAATGTTGTTGCTCTCTCACTAACTACCAACGTTAATACGCGTGCGTGCTCGGATGATTCAGCTATGCAGGGTAAGTGAAATGCATTGTCAAAGATGACAAGTCACTTATCAACATACATAGGGATTACTCGATAAAGAAGAATGAGATCTCATTCCGGTTATTGACAGCGCTACGATTATTGGCTTTGGAAGGTCCTGATTCCCGCTCTGGTTTTGAAAGGAGGTTAATCGATTGGCAACAAGTCGTCTCTGGTGCTAGCGATTTGATCAGCGTGGATAATGAACGGCGTGTGTTGATCATGCTAAAGTCAATATGCGAACGAACAAATGAAGTTGCATCCCACGAAGAATCACTGCTTACGGTAAAAATGACACCAACATGATGCTTTACAATGTCACTCATCCATCACATCACGAATGCTGTAGACTCTGCTCACAAGCCAACAGCAATCCATGCATCCATTTGCCATCCGATTCCTGCGACAAATTTGGAAGGAGACACTCGACATTAGCACGCTCACGATACAAGAGATTGATCAGAAGTTGAGTGAATTGTAGTTTATCATTGATGAAGAAGAGTCAAGTAAAACGCAAAGATTGTTGTTGAGGGAGAGGAGATTTATACATTGATCAATGAACGCGTGATTATGGGTATGGAAGGGGTATTTGATAACGTGTTCAAAAGGGGGGAGCAGCACATACACATGGGCATGACAACATTGTATACAAGTGGTGGTAGTTTTGGATGTTCTTGTTGCTTTTTTATCTTGGCCGGCTGATAGGTCGAGGATAAGGTTGTGGAAGTGCAGGCTTGGCAGGACGTTCTGGAGGCATTCTTGTTATTGATAACACAGTATCTTGATGAAAAAGTAAATTGACTCGGTTGATCAAGGTGACCTTTTTATATCTGGAGGATGTCAAACTGCAATGGCATTTGAGACACTTTATGATGTGATGATTCCCGCCACGCGGTAAAATGGGCGTACACCAATCCGACGCTTACCCCACCCCCGCGTGCAAGCAAATGCCCCCTTTTGCTACACATAACGGAAAGCAACAACGCCTACCGACATCATGCAGGGGGTAAATACATACATACACAAAGCCTCTTTTCTTTTGAAACAATATCATGATGAGCTGTAACGGTTTTACAAAAATAAAAAAAAAAGCGGGAGGAGAATGTTAATTTGACCATGTCGGGTATAGATCAGGCGATTGGCTGTTGTTTATCTGTCACGTACGTAAGGTACAGTGTTCGATGGGGCGTAAACAAAGCAAAACGTGGCAAAGGGACAACAGCAATGAATGACAGCCCTATTTCTGCACAGCATGGCATTAAAGTCGGTCCATGAAATTCCATGCTGTTTCGTCGTCGTGCCGATTGCACGCGTGGACTCTATGTATGTATGTATGTACAAGTAAAAAGGGGGTGAATGACAATACCCTATCCATACTACGGGCATTCACACGGTAGTGGCTAAATGGCAGGATGAGTTGTTTCAGGATGTTTAGCCACAATAATTGAAATACGCCATGACGATCGTTTAGTTTATTCCCTGCTGATCATTCCTTACAAACAAAGCAAACGCTATTTACCCCATACACGTTCTCTATATGGTTGCTATGTGTACGTTAAGCTTTTTTGGAGGCTGTTGACAATTGTGGGGCAACGAGGTTGTTTCATGTCAAAGTCTGGTGTAACGTACATGACACGCTTGCTCATTGTTGATAGAGATGACAACAACGACTCACGTAGTAGTAGTAGCAATAACAACACTTTATATGCGAACATGTGCATGCGCATGCGATAAAGAAAACCTGCAGGCTGGATTGAAAGCATCTTATCCCGAGAAAAAGCGATAAACCCGACAACAACGTGTGCATTTGTTGCTATTTCATCAATACAAATCCGAATGATGGGATGTGTGACATGTGGTCTTTAATGGCTACTGTATAAGTATGTGAAATGTTGTATAGGTATTCTCCGCTGATGTTTGTCCCTCGACGCCATTTCGTACGCATGACAAGGAATCGCGTTACAGAAAGAAGGCCTTTTTCTTTTTGTCACCATTGTCATCCTGTGAAGGCCAAGTGGATTTGATTGGGGTGTCCTTGGATGATGATTCTGATGATGGCGTGGATGTCTTTTCTTGCGCCTGTTGTTCCTCTTGTTCTTTGAGAGCAAGCACTAAATAAAGAAAAAGAGTAAGCTATCGGTATCACACAAAACACACACACACTCAATGCATACATTTGTCAAGATAATCATCATCCACATCCTCATCCTCTTCCTCGTGATGTTGTAATCGGCCACTCTTCAAAACAATCCGGATCTCCTCCCGAAAGTCATCCGTGAATGCTTGTCCTTTCTCAATACGGTCAATGATCTCTTCCAGCAGCTTGATCTTGTGTTGCGTCTTCTCCTTGTATTCCTTCTTTTCCATCTTGAGCCACATGAGATGCAAGGCTTCCGAGCCAAGAATAACCCACATGAGATACTCCAAGAAATAAGGCAAGTGCTGTTGTCGTCTGAAATGGTACACCATGGAAGACAAATTACCAGTGCCAGCCGATTGGGAAGCTGCTGCTGTGTTGATCTTGCGGCACATTTGGAGAGCAATCGGTCGTTGTTGACATGCCGGTCGAGTCAAGTTGACGGTGGGTCGAACCAATGGCAGCAATGATCGGGCAAACGACATTGGGGGAGGACGTATATATATGTATATCGACTTTGACAAGTGGTAGAGAAACCAATAGAGCGGTATTCATCCCTGGCTTCTAAATAAATTCGCATTTGGCTGCTGTCTCCATATCTTTGAATGCCACCTCTTATTGTATGTCTCCATGGAGACAAAATCTATGATCAAAAGAAGTACTGTATCATGGCAACGTTGCTATGATCGGTAAATCAACCCTGGGTCTTTGTTAGAACATACTTTTGTCACCTACAACGAATTTACTCCTGGGTGTTGGATGGATGGGGTTCATTGTTAATGGTGCAGCTCTTTTGACCTAGTATTCTAAAATGGTTGACCACTTTATCAATCATCCAAAAGCATTTCCCACGCCCATGCACATATAAACAATATGATGTTGTCGCGCGCATCATCACACATCTCTTTCGCCTCTTGCATTTTGTATCACTGCATGTTCCATCAATGTCTTTCGGTAAGCGTCACAAAGGACCGTTAAGCAATTTGTACGGCTCAAAAATGGATTGACCATTGAAATCATGTATGTATACAGTGCTTCATTGTTACTTGTTTTCATTGTTCTCTTTGTGATATGTACTCTCCTTCCCGTGAAGGTTCCATGATGGTGGTATGTGTGATTATCTTCTTCCTATAGCTTCCTCTTGTAATTTGTATATTGACATCTGCTTGATTAGCCTCTAAAAGCGGCCATGGAGTGATATGCATACTATAATCTTGGTGGTGTGCAAGCGAGAAGCATTGTTGTCGGGACAAGTGCCTCGCCGTGGACCCGCCATCATGCACTCAGTTCTGCATTGTTCCACTCAAAATCTTCTTTGAGGATTTAAACCTCTCTCGCGGTGCTCTCCTCGGCACCTTACAACCGGTGTGAAACGATACAATGAACAAGATGTGGAAAAAGCTATCTTGGAGCCGACGACTTTACATCGTTGGTGATTCATTCACTTCAAAACAGAAAACTCTTCTTCGGTAGTATGGCATACCTCGCAACAAGGTTTATGCTCCTCCATGTGGCGACTGCAACAAGTCAGTGTGGCAGGCTACCTCTTTTTCTGCATCCTCTTATGCTCGCGAGCTTGGACCATTGCGAACAAGTCGTATCCCGTAACCCCAAAGCACCAAGCACCACTGTCTCTGCCCAAGCCAAAAGAAAAGACAATAGCCAAAGAGATTAACAACCCAAAATCCATTGAGGGCAATGAGGACCAGTCCTTGGTGGTGACATGTCTCAACTTGTCATTGCATACCCTTTCAGGAACAAGCAATAGCTTTTCCTTGTCATGTCACTACAAGCTATCCATGAAAGTATGAGCATACACTATCGAATCACTTGCCAGTCTCCTCTTTCCTCTGCTGGTCCATCTTCACTTTTTAGCTTTATTTACTAGCCCCATTATTTGTAATTCACACCCTTTTACTAAGCTACTTTTTCTTTTGCATCATGGACGCTTGACGAATACATATAAAGACATGGTGATCGTTTTTTTGGGTACAAAAAGATTCAATGCAAGTGGTGGAAGCGTGTTTAGACATGGGATATGGAATCAGCTAGTATGCTATATACATCTTTTCCTATTACCAATTGCTTTGGACATCTTAATCATAGGCACCTTTATTGGCTTGCTTGCATGCATGATTTCAGTTCCTGAAAATAGACGCGTCACGTGGGACACGCGGTAATCGTGTTGGTGGCGACGGCCATAAAAGTGGGTAGAGATACGGAGTGCTGCGAGCCATGTTCGTTCTTGCCACGGCTATTCCACACGCCCCAGTCAATGAGGATCCTATGCGTTGCAGAGAAGCCAAGTGCATCAAAACAAATTGCCGAGATTCTATCTCAACGCAGTTTTCGTACAGTACGTTCAACGATCGCGATCGTCCATGGATAAAAGAAGCTCATTCATTCATGCATGCCATCGTTGGCATTTAGGAAAGCACCAGCAATCGATATATCAAGAACTATACATTCGACTATACCATCAACAACCGCACCGCCAGCATGGTCGTAACAGCACTCTTGGGCCACTTGACGGGTCTTGACTTTAACAAGGAGCAGTATGGGTGGACCAAATGCGATCCTGATACGCTATTCCATGCGCCAACCTATCGAAATGTATTGCCTGTATGTACCTTTTACATGGCAAAGTGTGGATACACGTTTATCTAACTTGGGGGTCTTCTTTTAGAATCAAGATACAATTGCTGAGAACCTGAAACGCCAGGCTCGAAACGCCGAGGTGCTATTCATTTGGACGGATTGTGATCGTGAAGGCGAAGGCATTGGTGCAGAGGTCAAAAACATATGCACATCTGTCAATCCACGATTAGAAATATGGCGAGCTCGTTTTTCATCATTTCAGGGAGCGTAAGTAGTCATCTCTCTTTTTGGATCAGGGGGTAGTAGTAGTAGTGGCTGATACACACACAACATGTATAGTGCTATTCATCAAGCTGCACGAACACCGGATCGATTGGATATGCGATTAGTGGATGCTGTCAACACACGCGAAGAATTGGATTTGCGAATTGGTGCTGCATTTACTCGACTGCAAACCTTAAAGTTACAGCATTATTTGGCAGATACAAGGCAGATTTTGAGTTATGGTATGTATTTGTTATTGATCCAAAGAAGGAAATGTACTCATGACGTTTATAGGTAGCTGTCAATTCCCTACGCTTGGTTTTGTGGTGGATCGATACATGGCTATACAAAAATTTGTCCCAGAAGACTTTTGGCAAATTGATATGGAGTACACCCATCATGAAAACGCAATCCACGGTGCCGACATGATCATCGATGAAGGCGCTGGTATGAATGTGAACAAGAAAAAGGACGGCGACACGCACGTGGTGAAGTTTAATTGGAAACGCAATCGTTTGTTTGACTATTGGGCGGCCTTTATCCTATATGAAGCTTGCTACCAGAATCCATTGGCAACTGTAACGGCTGTTAGGAAGAAACAAATAACGAAGCGGTAATGTTATGATGGGTTTCCATGGCTATACAATCCACTCATCCAAGGAAATCCTGTTTTTAGTAAACCTCTTCCTTTGACAACCGTTGAACTTCAAAAGACCGCTAATCGGATGCTTCATATACCAAGTGACGTGATCATGACAGTAAGTGTGGATATAAATCATAAGAATTGGGAGCTACCTTTATTGATGATGATCTCTTAGATCGCTGAAAGCTTATACAATCGTGGTCTTATCAGTTATCCGCGTACTGAAACCGATGAGTTCGATGACAAGTTTGATTTTATGAAGCACGTTCAAATGCAAGTGAATGATCGGGATTGGGGTCGCTATGCACAGCTGTAAGTCGGATGAAAGCTCATATACATCGAGGCGTTGATGCTCACTCAATTCTATCAGTATTCGAGATGGTGAATTCGAGAGACCGAGAAAAGGAGGACACAATGACAAGGCGCATCCACCGATTCATCCAACGGGATATGATCAATCATTGTCAGGCAACGACAAACGCGTATACGAGTTTATTGCAAGACGATTTCTTGCATGTTGCTGGAAGGATGCTTTGGGCTTTGAGACGGTTGTGGAAGCACAAATTACGACTGAGGACTTTGATGCACGTGGTTTGATCATTCTTGAAAGGAACTTTCTCGAGGTGTATACGTACGACAAATGGAAAGGGAATTATCTACCCGATTTCGAACAAGGAGACCAGTTTATGCCATCATCATTGTTGCTCAATTCTGGTACCACCAGTGCACCTTCTTTGCTCAAGGAATACGACCTTATTGCTTTGATGGAAAAGAATGAAATCGGCACGGATGCCACGATCGCCGACCATATCAAAAAGATCCAAGATCGCATGTATGCATACAAAGAGAACGAGTATTTCCACCCAACCACGCTTGGTATTGCACTCATTTTGGGATATGACGAGATTGGCTTTGAGACAAGTTTAAGCAAGCCTTTTCTACGACGTGAGGTAAGAAGCAGCAGCAGCAGCTTTTGTGGATTGCACATATTCATTGTTGATTTGATTTAGATGGAGGCAGATCTAAAAAGGATATGTCAAGGAACGATAGAGAAAGCAAACGTGATTCAGCAAAGTCTTGAGAAATATCGATCAATGTATGGACGAACGCTCAACGAACTCAACAAGCTGGTTGCTTCATTAAGGACACATTATCGACCGGATCAAGATTCTCGCAACCATGCAAATTCCAATCAAGGCTCACCGAGTGGCTTCAACAGCAACAATAGTGATACATCATCTTCAACATCAAGACGTGGCCGTGGAAGAGGCCGTGGAAGAGGAAGTAGAAGCTCTGGTAACACGAATCGAGGATCTCGTGGAGGAAGAGGACGAGGATCTAACAGCAACAACCGAAGTCGTGGTCGTGGTCGCGGTGCCAACAACAGCAACCAGTAAATGGATCATATCAGAGCGTTGTCCCAAGTTATCCACGATGGCCTCTTTCCGCCCAACCAACAAGATCCCGATGATGCGGCATCACTTTATTACCTGTATCATGGCAACGGATCAGTAGACTTGTTTTAACCCATCTGCAACTATAATATTTTCACATCATACCCTTAGCATCATTAGCTCATCCACCCCACATTGTATAATAAGACATGTAATAATATATAAAAGCTTTGTGCATACTTGAATCGTCTTGGAGGGATCCAGGGACATATACATGGTTTTTTTGTTGCCTATATAGGAATTACGAGAAGATGCACATGAACAAGTCCAGATTGCTGGCACTCGTTACGCATAATGTAATACACAGTTGTGGATTCCAGCACAGTGCTGACTCTTGCTAAAGACGGTAGGCTGACCCGAGGGAAAATAACACAAATCTTTCTTCTTTGTTGCACCTTTTTACTTGGCTTCCCAGCGCACCCAAATCATGCCATTTCTTGCACTCCTATCATGACGACGACAAAGAACCCGCCTTGTACACACACTCTCCCATCATCCATCTCCAGTCAACATTTGCCTTTTTTGCATCATCCGATTCATCTCCCCCCACAACCCCCCACAACATCCAGCATCAAAAACGGGTAAAGCTTGCTGGATGTTTTGCATAATATGTGCTCTGGTGCAATTTTTAAACGGATAAATGGGTTCCCCAATCATTCGTGAATGAAATCCAAGTAAAGACTTGATAAGTTATTACAGCGGCAATACATCTAAAGGTTGCTCGCCATCATAAAAGGATATATAGATAAATAAAACGGGCAACCACTTTCTGATGATGTGGGCAAGCAAAAAGAAATCTAGACTATAAATATACATACATAGATGGCAAATGATACAGGGATAAGGTGATAGTCCTCTAAATTGTATACGTAGTTGTTGTTGGGGAATGGATGATGCTGTGGTGGTAATAGAAGGAGGAGGAAACGAAACATGGTATAAAAGTGGAGGCTACTAGTGGTGCCGTTGTTGATTGTTCAAGTCGTCCTTGTCACTTGCTGGCATTTGTGCTGCTGTTGATGATGATGGTGATGATGATGGTGATGATGATGCTTCAATAGCACCATCCTATGACATCGGCAAATCCTCTTCTAATGATGGTGGATAACAGCGACTGCATTTCTCGCCATCACTTAGGGCGCGCTGACAATTCGGGCATACGAGTCGACAATTCGAACAATTCCATCCAGCTTTAAGGGGACGTCCACAACCACATACTGCCACGGTTTGTTGACGACGCCAAAGTTTATTGTGTAATCCGAGAATCCGGGTAGCAATTCGACGAGGACGTGATGATGTCGATTGCTGTTGTTGTTGATTCGAATAGGACGACGTTGATGACGATGATGACGATGACGCTTTTTCTACTGCTGGTTCTTTGCCTTTACGTCGTCGACGTCGATGAAATGGATTCTTCATCAAACGCTTGAATTGGCGTTTCAGTTTGGTGATGTTCTTTTTGCCATCCATTAACAAAATGATGAGGGCGACAATTGGATAGGACGTGTACACGAAAAAGAAAAGAGTACAGCGTAGTGCCAATGAAGAAGCGGTGGTGTGATGGGGGAAGGGATAAAAACAAAAACGCAAAAAATGCAACACGTTGTCGGCTTATATAGCTCAATGAAGCAAAAAAAAAAAATAAAGCCTTGTGCCTATTGAGCCTGTGTAAGGTGGCTAGGTTTAAAGCATGATCGATTGCTGTAGTAATGTGAACGTGCTGATACATAGGTATGTGTTGCCAGTGATGTGTGTTGTGTATCTCTTTTCTTGCACAATACAATATAAATGGTTGGTCAATTTTTATTCTTGAATCACCCGCTAAAGGATAACATTATTGTTATGTGGCACGTTGTCATGGGTTGCACAAAGACGAAAACTTATTGACAGATGGCATGAAAAACTGTATATACAAAGTTATAAAGTTTGCTTGTATGACAAGGGGAAAGGAATGGGAAAATGGGGCGAGAATTCCAACATCAAGGTCTTTTCACAAGGTTTGGACGGCTTCTAGGCTGAAGGATTGGTTGATTCTACTACGTTGGTATACAGGCTTTGGTGGTGGCGGTGAGGGCGTGCTTTGCTGGCCACCTCGTTTACGTTTCCTTTTCTGCTTCTCATCTTCATCTTCATCTTCCGACCTGGATACACAAGTCAATTTAGCGTTACACTTGACAAAGGCTTCAAACGACGTACCATTCAACCACGCTAGTCTCATCCATACGGTTAGAGATCGTTTTCCAGCTGAATCGTATCAAACTAGGGAAGCCGAAAAATGGATCTTCATTTTCATCGAGCCACTTGACCGTATTGGGATCTAGTAGTAGCATCATTAAAGTTAGGCTGGGTTCGCTGCATGACATCGATTTTTAATACCTGAAGGATAACCCGATCCAAAGGATTTTGAAACCTTGCCCTCAAGATCTGACTCGGTCCATATCCAGTGCTCCAGGATCTGATCACGTGTTACCTTGGCACAAATACTTGCCGCACTTACTGATGGGTAAAGCGAATCAGCACGAGGTTCAATAGTGAATTGAATGCCGGGGAAATATCGAGATAGTTTGGCCTTGTACGACTGTGACGGACCTACAGGATCAACATAGATCTACGTGCAACAGGGTTGTGTATCTCGTTTGAGTTACTCGCTTTTCTTCCCAAACACGTTCTTTTTTTACCTCGTTCACTTGCACTTGCGAGTTCAATACTTGTCGGATCAAATGCATCGTCGCATCATGTGCCATTTCATTCAAGTTGTAAGGCGGCCTATCAATCAACCATGTTGGCTTGTTTCCTTTTATCCAAAAAGAACCACGTGATCATACCGGCAATACATGTTGCAAGAGATATCGCGAGGGGAAATGACTTGAACTGCCCAACCAACCCAATCCAAATTCCTTTCAATCACTTGAGCGAGGTTGACACGTCGTTCTTCTGTCAGCTTTTTCGAATCTAGATATCATCAAATCATACATCAGCCACCAACATCCTCTCCCATGGACCTTCACCACCACCATCATCATCATCTTGCATACCATCAAACCCAAGCTCTTTGAATTCTTCATGTCGTGATAAGGGATAATAGCATACAGCATACACCATGGGGCCTACATGAATAAGGTACCATGTCAATAAGCTGATAGGATGTACGCGTCAAAGAATGTCAACCTACCCAAACAGGGACCGCGACCAGCTTCGTCAACGCCCAAAACACATGGCTCTTTTGAATCGATCAGCGATTGAGGCACTGGACTTGCGTAAGTATAGCTGTCAGATAAAGGCACCTTCACCGATGGTAAAATGTAGGCTGGCTCGTCTTCAATCGTCATGGCGAGTAACGAAACGGAGAAGGAAAAAGCCTGTTTGTATGGCAGCAAATGGGATTTGAGACGCAAACCGCTTACACAACCAGCAGTCCTGTATCACTACATCGTTTGACAACATTCACGAGCTTCCACGGCCAAAGGTGTTGCTGATCGGTGCCTCCTCCATGTCAGTAAGATCCTTGCAACCTTGATTGTGTACTCCCATTCCTCACTTTTCTTGTTCTTGTGTCCTTGAGAAGCACGTCAGCATTCTTGTCCGAGAGGTGTGGTGAGGTTGGATGCTCGTTTGCTCATCGTGTCAACAGGATCGTTAACACCTGTTCCCTTCAACTTCTTTATTGGTTGCCATGATACCATACACAATGCCTTTCCATAGGTCACCAAGATAGACATAGATTATCGTGATACATGCATTCAACGATAACAATAAACGTATACATTGTAATAAGAACAAATGAGGGATTTGATTTATTAGCATACAAGAGGATGTTATCTCCATTACAGTAAACAAGGGCAAGTGGGTGATCTATTACTATTACTACGTATATGGGAAAGGGGGACTCCTAATACTACTATTATCATTTTCATATTTTGGTCGGCGGTCAGAACTGCTGGTATAACGCAACACTCCAACAGACGACGCCTCATCTTTCCTCATTGCAGAAGGGGAACCGCTTCACGTCTGTTGCGCTAGCGCAACCTTACACCCTGTCAACTGCGAGGTAAAGGAACTCTCATGCCAACCTCACAAGGAGCAAGGCATATACATACTCCACTCCTGCAACAATGACCAGAACACGCTTAGCGGATAACATCAAGTCATGCTACGACCCAAGAGCATCCATGAACACGACCAGCGCAACATGAATACTTTCAGGCGGAGGGGTAACGAAGAAGGGGGAAAAAACCTCGCTTTGTTACACGGCAAAGGCTGAGGAAAAAAACCCCCTGTGCAGGCCACTCCAATCAACTTGTTCTATAACAAACTTACATGAGTACATAGTGCCAAGAGATGAATGAACAATAGAAAACTTACCGGGCAAGAGAAAGGAGGATACTGCGCCTCAGAGGAAAAGGGCTCTGTTTTATAAGAAAAAGAGCGCTCTTTCAAACGCGCAAATTTTTTCAATCCCAGCGTGGTTTTTTTACGTGCTTTTTTCGCGCTTTTTCGTCCAATTTCCTTTTATACTCAGCGCGTTTCGCGTCGCGCGTTTTACAGGCTAATCTCTGCCTAAAGACGCCGTTCTTTCTTGTACATGTGGGCAAGTAGAAGGGGAAGTAAAATTGTGTTGTCAATGACAATCATGCAAACTGACACCTCCTATTGTGGCACGAAGCTATCATGCCGACGCCCATGCGGAGTGACGTGCAGCTAACAACAGCGACGCCATGTACCACTGCACCTTCTATATACGTGCATGTTGATCCATCACTGTTTAACAAACTATGTTGGGTCAAAAGGATACACCACGCCTTCAATACTCAAATGCTAATACAGAGCATTCATATATCTGGATACGCCTATCAAGATGGCATCGACAAAAGAGATTCGACATTCTTGTTAAGCTGCACAAACAAGTCGTCGTTCTGCATCTTTAGCTGCTTCACAATGAACAAAGACATCTTTCATATAGCATCACGATTGAAGCTTAGTAGAAATAAAGACGTCAATATCTCTCAACTTTACGATCAAGTGCGAGGGACTATTATTGGGTACCATTACTATGGGTTTATTGTCTTTGAAAACAAACGCGTCTATTTAAACCTATACAGCCCGCTGAGAAATGCCACTGCCTATCGTCTATCAGCGTACGAACAAGGAAGCTTCAACAAATGTAATGTGACAAAGGAACAAGGTATCTCGATACAATGATGTAGATGATCCAATCTCGTTCTCCACCTTCGAAAATCCTTCCTCCCTTTCATTCCACAAACCAACCAAGTCGATCACATAGAATCAGCGGGTGTCCTTGTATCATTGTATCCCTTGGTTGCCGCCGTCATAAGCATCTTCAATCATGATTGCAAACTAATTGTTGTGCGTGCCTTGATTCCGATATCCCAATATCATCCATGGCAGCAAACCGCCTTTCGTCAAATATCGAAGCTTTCTGATCCATGCCATCCAATCCATCATCATCCTTCCTGCTAGCGACATTTCAGTGTCACCTATCACAGTGCTTGGCTGCATCCATCCATCCATTCATAACCATTGCAAGTCCAACATGTTGATAGAAAGAATCGTTTGCTGACATACTTCCTTTCTCATCCGCTGTTGGCCAACCACTTCCTTAGTCATTGTCTATCGCAGCTCAATCAAGAGAAGAATGCTCGTATGGCGCAGCATAGTTGATAGCTGATACGGCATCATCCATTCGATTCCATATGTATCAAGGCAAGTTGCTACACGTAAACAAAGCTGCTTCTCAATAACGGCTGTCTGCTGTTCACGTAAAAAAGACTGCAAGTAGAGAACGTCGTCTGAGACAAAGACAAGACCTTGTTAACAGCGACTGCTATTACGTTTGATCGGGAAAAGGAGTGTGCAAGAGCGTGTGTTGTAGCAAAGTGACAAGGTTGTGAACTGTTTGAGACAATGAAGTAACGACCTTGCTGTTTGAAACTGCTGGATGAACGCTGTTACGTTTGATTGTCGTCGAGGATTGCACAAGAGAAGGTGAAGTGTCAAGGAACGCGGGTGTTGTAAGGAGGGGTGCACACGCCATGAACGTGCCATTCAGTCGAAGTCGTTGGGATCAAGACAATCGTAGGCTTGACATGATGAGCTGAAGCAGGACAATCGTTTAGAGATGGTGGCAGCAATTTAATGGACGAGCAATTGAGAATGGGAGGAAGAGACAAGAAGTGGGGAGCGGAAGAGCTGGAAATTAGTAGACTTCTTTGTGTTGGATTATGTTTCTTTGTGTGTGCATTGCTCAATCAAATCCCCTCGGATCAAGGAAGTTGAAGGATGGAGATGCTGGGTTGGAGCAGGGGAATCGTTTACATGCATTGGGTTGGGCAACAAAAGTGAATGGGAGGAATGGTCTATCAAGTATCAGTTTACAAATAACTTTGCAAAATGATTTTTTGTGACAATGGATGATGTTTTGTGTTTGAGCGTAACTCACCCAAATCCCCTCGGATCAAGAAAGTTGAAGGATGGGATGATGGGCTGGAGCAGGACAATCGTTCATATGCATTGGGTTGGGCAACAAAGATGATTGGGAGGAATGGGCTATCAAGTGGCAGTTTACAAATAACTTACCAATTTGATTCTTCTGATATTGGATGATGTTTCTGTGTTTGAGCATTTTTCAGTCAAATCTCATCGGATCAAGAAAGTTGAATGATGGGCATGCTGGGCTGGAGCAGGACAATCGTTTGTATGCATTGGATCGGGTAACAAAGGTGAATGGGAGGACTAAGGTTATTAGCTGGCATTTTGAACTGTTCCTAAATAGTGTACAAGAATCATGCATCGCCTGTGCTGAATGACTCAAGTTACGCAAACACGCCCTCTGCATCTTTTGCTCTATTATAGCCATAGTACTTTACATTAAACAAAGACAACTTCTCATATAGCATCACGCTTACAAGCATAAAGGTGCCTGTGTCTCCAAACTTTACAATCAAACGTGGGCTCTTTAATAGATCAACGTGCTCGTCGGGGTCAAAGGAATCTTGTGTCAAAGTATGAAGTTCATCGTGGGCAATCCCAGACTTCGCAATGTCGCCACCAGCCAAACTGGATCCGGCGGTCGACCTCTTCGACGACGACGACCAAAAAATATTTTTTGAGCTGTTTGCGACATTGAACGCGAAACTTTCACACAAGGTGCTGTTGGCCAAGCCGAGCACATTGCTCTATTCAAAACCCCACGTTTCATTGTAAAGTTTGGAGATACAGTCACCTTTATGTTTGTAAGCGTGATGCTATATGAAGAGTGGTCTTTGTTCATTGTCAAGTAGGTGGACCCTGGCAGAGCAAAAGATGCAGAGCGTCGTGTTGTGTAACACAGCTACGTTTGCATGAATGGAAGGGTCAATGTATAATTACTTTATGGATCATCTAGGAACAGGCATGTATTGCTAGCTAACGGCCACTTTTATCCAATCATCATTGTTGCGAGATCTACTGCATGGGAACGATGCCCCTGCTCTAGACATTCATTTCCATGATTAAAGTAGGTTGATTCGAGCTGATTTGACTGAGCTGCGGTCAAAGAGAGATTACATCACTCTGGACATAAAGCACGCTCGATGTAGCTCAACCGATGTAACCTTGTGTGAGCGTAACTCAACCAAATCAGCTCGGATCAACCTACTTTAATCATGGAAATGAATGTCTGGAGCAGGAGCATCGTCCACCTACAATAGAATGCACAAAAGTTGGGAATGCGCAAAAGTGGCTATTAGCTGGCAATGTATGACATAAAAGTGAGGGTTGCGTACCTGTCATGCATCGTCCCTGAGGTCCGGACTTTTTAACCCAGTAACACAAACACGACCCTCTGCATCTTTTGCTCTGCCAGGGTCCACCTACTTCACAATGTTCATTGTAAAGTGACTAAATCCTGATAGAGTCAAAGATGCAGAAGCACTTGTTTGTGTCACAAAGCCTCAAGGGGACGCGACTTGAAGGGTTGATCCTATTGGTGGAGAGTGCATAATGCATCATTTCCCCTATACCCATAGTAATGTCCGGCTATAATATGCCCTGGATAGAATGGTTCGTTCTTATACAAGGTTGAATACGATAGCGTTATGAAATAGGCAAGCATGGTGTGTTCATGTACTGGCGCCGCATTGTATCAAGCTTCTATAAAGAACACTTTGTTGGGAAGCATCACACTCGAATCCTTGCAATACAAGCATTCTGGGACCCTCACTATCTTTCAACTATCGGCTGTGAACTAGGAGGTTTTGGTGAATGTAACAGTGCTGTGACAAAACAAAAGCATCTCGACCCAATGATGTAAATGATCCACCAATCTCTCTTTCAGGTTCCCCCTTTTAATCCAGAAACCCGCCAAGTGATTCACATCTTGCACATATGACCTGATAGTATGATACCCCAAACATTACGTTGAATCCCATTTTCATTCAATGATAACGTCGAAGAATAGCATATGAAGATGACTATCAAGTAAATATGGTAGAGGGGAAGCATTGAGAATTGAGTGAGAAACGGGGTGGTTCACATAGAGACAACAGGGGTCATTGTGTCATTGTATTCATGGTTGCTGCCGTCATAATCATCCTTCATTCATGATTGCAAAATAGCTGCTGCATACATCGAATCGAGTACGCCAACATCATCCGTGGCTGAACAACACCTTTCGTCAAAGATCTAAGCAATTCCATCCAATCCACCATCATCCTCAACCGTATCCATGTGGTCGTTCTTGCGGACGACGCGCCAAGTAACCAAAGCAACATTCCAGGATCTCTCATCACCTGCACTTGATTCCATCCATCCATCATCACCAATATTGCTGCAGACATGCTTCCTTTTCCACCCTCTGTCGGTCTATCTCTTCTTGGTCATTTTCCATTGCAGCTCAACCAGGTGAAGATTGCTTGTATTGCCGTGTACTTGATAGCTGATATGGCACCCCATCCATTGGAATCCGTATTTTCCAAAGCAAGTTGCTGCAAGTAACTTGAGGCAATGTGATAAGACCTTGCTTGGTGGCAGAGGAGGGTGCAAGAGGTGTGTTGTAGTAGAGTGACAAGATTGTGAACGTTGTTTGAGACAATGGAGCGAATAGCAACTGCTGGATTGGATGCTGTTACGTTTGGCTGTGGTAGAGGAATGTGCAAGAGCGTGTGTTGTAGTAGAGTGACAAGGTTGTGAACGTTGTTTGAGACAATGGAGCGAATAGCAACTGCTGGATTGGATGCTGTTACGTTTGGCTGTGGTAGAGGAATGTGCAAGAGAGTGTGTTGTATCAAGAAACGCGTGTGTTGTAGAAGAGTGACAAGAAGGCTGTGTACGCGCCATGGGATTGCCATTCAGTCAAAGACATTCGGATCAAGAGTGTTGTAGGATTGACATGATGGGTTGAAGCAGGACAATCGTTCGTAGGGTGGTAGTTGTATACTTGAATGGGGCAACAATTGAGAATGGGAGGAAGAGGGAGCGAGCTGCTGAGTGCCCTGTTTATGCAAACCATGGCGGTCTTTTGATCGACACCGAAACGTTGGTATTGATGTTGATGTTGCGTGCCCGGAGACTGATATGCATGTATGCACGTTCGAATTGGATGTTTCTGTAAGCAGATAGAAAATAATGTAAGCAAGTGGTTGTAGTCAAATAAAGCGAACTCACCTGTAGTGGGCCTTGAAAGTACGAATGGATACCCCGAATCCACAGTGGCTGCATTGATAGGTTTGTAGTTGAATACAAGCCTGTAGGGGTCCTTTTCTCCTGCCTGCAAAGGTGGCGCCGAACAATTGTAGTCCACTCGGTTCCCATTCGCATCAGATAGACGGGCGGGTGGTGTTGGGTGGGAGGAACTCGATCTCGATGTTTTTGGGTTCATAATTCTTCAGCTTGTGGCCAGAGAAGTTGTCAACCAGAAGCAGGATCTTGCGATTCTCGAAACTCATCGTGTTGTCGTTTACGAAAGATGTCCCTCGTCATCCAGGCCGTGCGGTTGTGATGGTAGTGAGGGAAACCAAGGGAGATGTCTACATATGAGTCAAATGTATATTGAGTTAAACATGATAAGCATGGTGAATACTAGGACCACGATACTTACGACACTCTTTGTTGAAGCATTTTGGGTTGGCAGCATGTCCCATGATAATTGGCTCACGCATATCACTACCATCAGCGTTGACACACACACCAACAGTGAGACGTCTCTTGTCCTTCTTGAAGTCTAAGATTGGTCTGTTGGAAATGGTTGTGGTTGGCGAATTGCGGTAAAAAAAGTGCGGTCTCATCGAGGTTGTATACATCACAAGGACGATAACGAGAAGACGACCTTGTACAGCATCCATATCCACATCACCACGCTCACCATGGATACGATTCAATTGCAAATCGAATCGCTCTTGGAATCGGCATTGCCGCCCGGTAGAGAACTTGATTCGGTCTTCTTCAGGGATTTTGAGGATATCGGCATATCGGGCAGCTGCCACCTTGATCCGATGCCAATCGAGGGGGATGTTGTTTTGCTCGGCTGTTTGTATAAAGAGCATGAGTGCTTCTTCAAGTTCCTATTGCAAAAAGTCATATTAATCACTATCTGAAGAGAGCCATTAATCAGTATTGTGTACTTACAGGATGAGCTGCAGCACGACGACGGAAATTATTTTGGCGTACGTTGCTGTATATTTAATGCAGCAACCCGATCTTCAGAATCTTGATGTGTGACACGACCAGTGGATGTTGATGAGTCGTCTACTTGACGTTGGATAGGAAGTTGTTGCATGAAAATGGAGGAGTCAGGTAACGAAGGCATACCATGGAAGCTCTCAAGGGCCTCGTTGTGTTGTTCAAGCAAGCGTTGGATATCCTTGAGAGCCTCAGCAACGCAACGATCGATATCAACATCCATTTCATTTCCAATGTAATGCCATTGGTAATCGCCACACAAACTTGAAGAGTGCTGTTCCCACAATAAGCCAAGGTGAGAAGGATTGCCGAAAACCAAGACGGTGACAAGAAGTTGAGTTGCGGCTACTGTCTCAGCATTGGGCACATTATTGACAATCTTGGTGATATGCATCGTGATTGTTGCAATCATCCTCAATCCCCCATCATAATCGTTCTCGTCGTGGAAGACGTCCAATTGTTGTATGTGCTCATCAAACGTCGTGCTGTATACCACCATGTGCCCGCAGGTAAACTGTACGGGGCTACCTTGACGGGACGAGCACCTTCCTTGAGTCGTATACGCTTTGGAGGTGGCACCAAAGAAATGTGCAGGCTACGCCGGGCCGGATCTCTTTGAGAAAGTACTCCACGATTCATGCAAGGCCCAGTTCGATCCAAAAACGTCGCTTCCATAGCTGTCCAGGCCCATAGTTGTTCTCATTCGTCCTTTCAAACAAAGAAAGAATTATCCGCCATCATTCCAATCCTCAAAGGATAACCACCAAAATATCACGAGAAGGGCGTGCATTGTGGGGCTGATGGCGTCAAATGGCCATAGGGAGTCGAAGCAAAGGAGAGATGATACCCAAAGTCGCACTATATTCCATAATGACACCATTCATTATTACTTGAACGCCTTTTTCATTGTCGTTGTTCACTGCACTTGCCTTTTTCATGCACAATGATCTATGTTGTTGGGTTACTTGAAGGCGAGAACCATGGTGTAGTGACGTCGAGCCAAAACAAAAGCCAAATGAGCCAACGTCTTTGCGATCTAATGTTGCTGTCTATACGCGCGTCAATGGAACAAGCTCCTCTGCTACATTGGGGCGTCGAATGTACCTGTTGCGCCAAACGCAGAGCGGCATAACAACCAACAAGAAGACCACCCTACAACACTTGCACCCACTTCCTATCTATGAACACAGTTACTATTTTGATACCAAGCGCTTGTCAATGTCAACAAAGTTACTCTCATGATACATGCCTTGACGCATGGCGCGAATGCACGGTGGTGTATGGGTCCAAGGAGACAAAGAGAAGGGGTATTTTTCAAGTCTCGGAGTTGTCCTCAAGATTTTCTACTGCTAAGCTTTACCATGCTCCCACATCATAGTTGACATCACGTACATACATAACAATAAATCGCACCATCATCGTAGCCCACACGCATTGACTAGGACCAGCTTGTTTCAAATCCCATCATTTATCAAGAAAGAAGCGTTCAGGCAACGATAGCACTTCAAGAAGCAGACGTTTCTCATTCCTTCCCTATCCTACATAGCAGTATAAATGATCGCACATTTTTGATCATTGAATAAAGCAATTAGGACTAGTAATAGCTGATATTCAATAAATCTCCTTCTTTAGTCAATCTTCAGCCTTTCACTTTCACCCACTTCCTGTATGCATCAATGACTTGATGGATTTCATTTGTATTGCAGGATTTACATATGAGCACCGGGAAATTACTACTACTACACGCGTTGCTGTTCCTATTATCCAAAATTGAACGCATGCATAATACATAGTGGCAACGTACATACTGTAATCCAATGTCTCTGTTCACATGTGTGGCAAATGTCATACGTATGACCAAGATCATCTGACAATTACTGTGTACGCACCAACACCATGCTATTGGATTCGGGTGCTGTGGTCGGCTTTCCTTGCATATTTGCCGATGACGTGTTTTGGTGTGATTGTTTGCACTACGTACATTTTCAGCATGTGCGATCTTTGGATACCATGGAGGTTATTGTGGTGATCATACCCTTTGTGTAAAAGCCTTTCATCATCAACATGCATCCCTTGATGGTTCATTCTTTGTTACAATCACCTTCATCGATACAATAACAATCAATTATCTTCATTGTCCAATCGGACCGGATGTTACATGTGACCTGGTGATGAGGGTCAGGTGGTTGTCATAAGTGGGGCACGGTCCTTATCTTTGTACAATGCTGGTCTGGAACCGCGTCAACAGAATTGCTGTCTAAAATTCCATTGTCGGATGTAACGTGGACATCACGTACATGTACATACAATCAAGAAACGGGATCATCCGCATGCTTGTGTGTGGGTGCCAAAAAAGGGAATGCGAGCCTGATGCTCAGATCGACAATGTTTATATGTCTTTTCACACGTGAGAAGCGCGTTATTCTTTCTAATCATGCATTGGGGACAATAGAAACAACAATGATCATAAAGAAAAGGTCATAAAATGGCTGTGATATGCGTGGTGGGCTCATCCCATCCCATTGATCTCTTTTATACAATAAATAGCGCATGTGATACATGTCCTCTACACACAACAAGAATCCAGTCCGAATAGCAAAAACTTTATAATTTGTATTATCCTATCCATAATAACGCGATCGACCAGCTGATCGCCTACTATATCTTGATGGAGGTGGGTAATCATTATAATCGTCTTCGTATTGATCCCACATGTATTCATCTTCTGGTGGTGGTGGTGGTGGAGCTCCATAAGTGTTACCGCCACGCCAACGTGGTGCTGAAGAATAACCAAGTGACCCTGATCTTCGTTGTCTTACTGATCTACGATTTGGATTACGACCTAATGAACCAGCCATAGACATTGGAGGAGGTGGTGGAGGACCCATCATGGGAGGATACCTTGGATGAGGTGGTACCATGGGTGGTATACCGGCAGCAGCTGCAGCTGCAGCATTAGGTCGTGGGATCATTGGTGGCGGTGGTGGTGGTACACGAGCAGATGACAATGAACGACGACGTCTTGGTGGATGATGATGATGATGAAAAAGCCTTGGTCTACGATAATCCTCTTCATCCTCCTCATCCTCATCGTCCTCTTCATCTTCAGGCCAACCTTCAATTTCACTCTCATCCTCATCATCTTGTTGTGAATAATAATCATAGCTGGCAGCACTATCTTCGTAATAGTCATCCATATAGCGAGCTCGATTGTTTCCTCTTATACCACCACCGCCACCTGGTCCAACTCGCCAATACGCGTCATCTCGAGGGACACTTTTACTTCTAGCATGATGCTGATGACGTTGGCGACTTGTTGAATTACGAGAATTGGAAGGTGTTGAACGACGTCGACGTGGTGAAAGTAAAGTAGTTGGATCAGAACGAGAATGGGTCATGTTAATGTTGGCAGATTGTTGGGTGCTAGCACCACCTGTTGATTCATCCATGGGATCATCCATCATATCAGGTTGTGGTTGTTGTTGTTGATTACGCATACGAGCAGCTGCAATACGACAATGTTTCCGCATCTCCCTTTCAAGTTGCTCTAACCTATCCACTACCACATGACGTTCACGTTCCATTTCCATCTTTTCCCTTGTAAGCATTTGCACTTGATGGCGTAGCATTTCATTTTGCTGTATAATGGCTTGGTACTCGGCTGAAAACTTGTTGCTGAGTATATTGGCAGCGGTGGCATTAGCATTGTTGTTGCTTGGCATGGCAGCAGCGGATGATGATGAATCATGTTGGTGATGGTGGTGGTGAGGGTTGGCAACACCAGCTTCAAAAGTAACCTTATTTCCTCCAACAGGTTGTTTACCCGCATTGACAACAGATGTTGTGGGAGCAGATGGAGGATGTGATTCTGATACAGTGATGGGCTTTTGTACTTGAGAAGTTGTAGGTGCTGAGGAGGATGATACAACAGGTGGCATTGAAGAAGACGGCTGCTGCTGTTGCTGTTGTTGTGGCTGATGTTGCTGATGATGATCTTGTTGCTGTTGTTGTTGTTGTTGTTGGTGATGGTTATTCATGTTAGCTAATGATGGTTTCTTCTTGACAAGAATGGATGTTGTACGTGTGGCGGTGACAGTTGTAGAAGATGTGGTGGTGGTAGAGCTTGTTTGTTTTTGTTGTTGTTGAACTAATTTCTGGGTGGGAGCCACGGCATGGACAGGTTTTGGCATCAATAACGGCGGCGGTGATTTGGTTGGCCCTTTCACTTGTACGTACCGAGTGGGCTTGGAATCTGGTGTGGATATCCTTTGAGGTGGGTAGCCAATCTCGTCAATGCTCGACATAAGCAAGGAGCGAGAGAAAAAAGAGAGAGGAATAGGAAAGGGAGAGAAAGATGGTAACAAAAGGAAGGAGAGGAAACCCTATCGAGCTTGTTATACCCATCTGATCGCTTTAACGTGACACGCTGCCATTCGGTCTTTTGACATTGGTTGTGACCCACAGCAAGTGTACCCAGGGCGTTATGCAAACAAGTCGGAACGCTTCCCGTACACCGAACCGCTCATTACACTCCTTGTTGGTGTTTGAGCTTATCATGATTCGAAATTATTTATTAACTTTAGAAGTAAAGGCTATCTTTGATTGGTTTTTCAACTCATGTTGTTACACTGACTTTTGTTCTATGGACACACAAAGGTCAAGGGCATCATATAACAAGGTCGAATTGGGATATTGTAAAAAGGTCTACTGCTGCCGGTGCTGCTGCTGCTGCTGCTGCTGCTGTGTGAGCCTGTTATTTGCTTTTGTTTGACACAAACAAGTTCCTGCATAAGATGGCTGCTGCAAGGGATATCAAGGGTGGGTTGTATTGGTTTCATGATTCGCCATCATAGTAGTAGCATCACAAGTTTGATAGCATTCTTCTTTTGTATGGGGGGTGGTTGTTTACTAATGAACAAGCAATGTCTTGTATGTGCGTGTGTGCATGAATGATAATAGTAGGAAGGAAGGACGATTGATTCCCCGCGAGGTGGAGTGGAAGTGGGATGGGTGGGTGGGTTGTGGAGGAGGAGACATCCTAAATTTGGTAGGCGTATCCATCCATAGTGAGTTCCTCCTTTCCATCCATTGACCATGAAGTAATACATCCATCCATCCATCCATTCATCCATTCACCATTCTCATCTAACATCATCTTCCAGACTCGAGATTTGCTCGTTCTCCGGTTACAAGATCTACCCTGCCAAGGGTAAGGTGTTCGTTCGCAGCGACAGCAGGTACGCATTTCTCTAT